TATAATAATCAAAAAGTAGAAACAACCTAAATGTCTACCAACTGATGTATGGATGAACAATGGTGTTATATCCATACAGTGGAGCATTACTCATCAATAAAAAGGAATGGAGTGGGACTTCCCTGGTGGTGTAGTGGCTGAGACACCATGCTCTCAATGCAGGGAGCCTGGGTTTGATCCCTGGTCAGGGAACTAGATCCCACATCCCACTAAGAGTTCCCATGCAGTAACCAAGACTCAGTGCAGTCAAAATATATAAATAAAATATGTTTAGAAAATGGGGTACTGACATATGTTATAACATGGATGGACTTTGAAAATCTTATGCTAAGGGAAAGAGGCCAGTCACAAAAGGGTATTATTCCATTCATATGAAGTGTCCCAAATGGGCGAACTCATGGAGTCAGAAAGTAGATGAGTGATTGCCAAGGACTGAACAGGAGGTGATGGGGATACAGAGTGACTGCTAATGGGTATGAGGGATTTTTTTTAGAGTGATGAAACTGTTTTAAAATTGACTGTGGTGATGATTGCATAACCATATGAAGATAGTTAAAATCATTGAAATATATACTTTAAATTGTACTATATACAAATAGATCTTTAAAAATCTGTTATTTTAAAAAATACAAATTATCAAGAAGCACATGAAAAAACTTAAAATTCACTGATCATCAAATTTTAAAAAGTCAATTAGGAGATATCATATCTTTTATCAAATTTTGGAAATTAAAAGCATGTATGTGTGTATTAAAAATAAGATCTGTTTGTAAACTTCAAAGAAACTACTCAAACAAAATTTACCTTTATCAAGTATATATTTGCTTCTTAAGCTCACAATGTTTAAATGATGCTTTGTGAGTCCAAAGTATGGAGATTTCTAGTTACATACCTCTCAATTCATGTTTTTGCCCAAAGATATTAAAAAGTCTTTGCAATTTTACTCAAATGTGCAAATGAAATAAGAAAAAGGAAACTGGGTTCAATGAAAAGTAATCAACTCTCTTTTTCCCACCCCTACTGGAGAACATTAGAAGTATCTATATTTTATCCCTTTGGATGCAGATTAAGTAACAGCAGCCACTCCCCATGGGCAGAAGGAGCCTGGTGTGTTCCCAATGTGCTGCGTGACATTTGTGAATGCTATAGTGGTCTTCTGGTGAAAACACAGCTGTCTCGGACACCAGCCTGTAGCCTCTATAAGTTAGTTTCAGTACAAACATTCTTTCATCGCAGTAGGAATTGGAGAACTCTTCCTTATCAAATTCAAGAGCTTCTAGACATTGTGGAAGAGTGAAAAACATGTTGCAAATGAATGGGATGCTCCACAGACAAATTAAGCCCTGAACCAACCCCACACATCATGATTTCAGAGAAATCTGAAGCTCTAGTGTGAGTCTCATCTTGAGCCAAATACTTATCTTACTAAGTCGATGGGAGTGTTTCCACAGTTGCATTCTTCTCTCCTAAAAAGATTCAAAAGTAGAGCCTTGGCTTGGGTGCTAACAGCTTTTAAATTAATCAGAGAAGGCAAATACTTGGCATATGCTGCCATGCTGCCTTCACTTGCCTGAGTATAACTATTGCTTACTTTTCTAGACACTCTATTTTACTGACTGTGAATGTGATCTAAGACTTTCTCAACACAGTGCCACAAGCATTCATTACTAATCTATCAGTGAGTTATATTTGCCATTCCTGATGTAGAAAAAGCAAATTGAAATATGTGTACATGCCTACATGTGTGTGTGTTTTACACAACTACTTAGAAGAACCTTTGAAGTATATTTATTGTCATGTAAGGTTTGCCTTTCAGAATATAGAAACTACTAGTAGAAAGAGATCAATAGTCATTCAATATCATGCTTTATCTAATTTGCTTTAAATGCCTGAAGTGGTTACTGTTGACTCTCTGGTCTTTACAAATATAAATACCCAGACAGAGCTCTAACCATTATAAGCCATTTTCTAAAAATAATTTAGCATGTGCAATTATATCTTAATAACATGCATTACCTATGTCTACTCATTTAGTGCTCCCCCAAACCGTTTGCAGAAGGTGCTATTAAAATATCCAGATTATAGTTGAGGAAACTTAGGCATAGAACAATTAAATTTCATTTTGAGGCTACAAAGGACTTCATTTGGTTAAAGTGTTACTTGTGATGCTCTTTCTGCATGTCCCCACACTCCTTTCCCCAAGATATAAGCTTTGGTCTAAGTTAAGAAGCTAGTGTTAAATGCTCTTCACCAGATTCCTTCTTTTGAAACAGTGAACAAAACCTCTTCTAAAAAACAATAGCTTAAGACAAAACCTGACAGTTCTATTGTCTCAAATCTCCTTGCTATGAATCCTTTAAAAGTGCCAACTCCATTTTTCATCTCAAAAGCATTTTGGAAAAACTCATAACTTAGAGCAACTCTGCAAGCTGTGGAATCCCATTGTTGCTTATGTGTTATGTCCATACATCTTCAAATGAGTCAAGCTTTGTTAGTTCACACGGGTGCAAATGTAAAATAAATGAAACTGATAGGCATTGGTAATTTCAAGTCATAGCATCAACTTGAAAGTTTCTTCACCCAAATAGATAATTATTTGTCCACATCCAGAGGTAGAATGTAATGAATAAAGATAGTTGTGAAAATTGCTAAAACTAAACAGTATGAACATCTCTTTTCATCAGAGCAAAATAGAATAATTTATCAAAGCAGAATTTCAATTAAATGGTATATGGAAATGACATTTTTCAATCAAAACAGAAAATTTCAATTTTCTCTTAACAACTAGAATCTGAATATACTTTAACTGGCTATTTCTTCCACATATTTGCAGTTAGAGTATTGATCAGTATCTGATGAAATATGAAAAAGATTTGGAATCATATCCCCAAAGTCCTTATCAATTTAGTTATAAGGAAGTTGTGAGGCATGCATAGTTTCTTCAGTTTTTTTAAGTGATGACTTTAATTAATGTTTGTCAGAGAAACAAAATAACATTCTCCATATAACTCTGTAATTCACTTACCATAAAATTCTCAAATATTCAGTACTCATCGATGACCACTTAATATTAAATCATTGGTTTTCTATATTTTTGGTATGTTGTCAATAATGAAATTGTGAGAAATTTCCATCTGGTATTTCTGATGTTCTAAACAATAGATTTGAAAAAAAACTCACAAATGCCTCCTGATTATGTGAAAGCATTAATCTTCATGGAAAGACAGCATTGTAATAGCTTCTCACCTTAAAGATTTCTTAAACAGGCTCATTTTTTTCCCACGGAAAGATTTGGAAAACCCTGATGGTTCAGGATAACCAATTTTGTTTGTTTGTTTGTTATTGTTAAAGGGGGTAAATAAAAAATAGCTTTATTGAGGTAAAACTGACAAACACTGAATCACAGATATTTATAGTAAGTGAACTTATGAATTTTGACATATGTACACACCTGTGAAGCTATCACCACAATCAAGCCAACGGATACATCTATCATAAGGTTTGAAGATACCAATAATGTAAAATATTGGTGATCGTCACATCCCCAGGGGTATCTGGCCCTAGAAGGCCATGTATATTCTCTATTGAGTAAACGCATTTTCTCTTAATTAATTGTCACTGAATAGAACAAAGGGTTGGGCAGAATTCAGGCTTTTAACTTTCAGCATTTTTGAGGAATATCTGCATGGTGCTGAAGTTGGCCTTGGAATACAAGAAAATTGACATGTATGAAATCCTCAGCATGTCTATGGTGGCTTAGCAGTTCCACAAGCCTCATGGAAGCTTGCCCCATGCCCCACCTTTTCTAGAGAAGGAGCAGTGCATGGGCTTATTCCTCCACCCTATGCGTTATTATTTTTTCCAACCACATCATTTCATAGACAATTTAGGAACCAATAAAGCACAAGTCTTGTTTGAAAAGATGTATCTAAATATAGGAGTAATACATTATAAGCCAAGTCACTTCCCTTCCCTGAGTTTCTGTTGACCTGTCAGGTATCTTCCATCATATCAGAGAGCTGTAAAGAAAAATGGGGGCGAGGGAAGCAGCAGCAAGCTTCCCGGAATGTCCACCTTCTCAAATAAAGCAGGCTGCACAGACACTTTATAATCTGTATGAGTTTGGCTCAGCGTTTCTGAAAGGAAACGTAAGTTGTTTTTGTCCTGCCCATTGCTATCTTATTCGCCCTCAGTGCTGGTAGGAATGAGGTCCGGTAAGCTTTTTTTCGGAGGCTTTCCTGATAGCTCTTTCCTGTACTCCACTATTTTTGGTTCTGTTTTGGAAATAGTTTAAGGATGCAACATTTAACCTCAGCGTTGCAGATTCCCTCGTCTCCATCTGTCAACCCCCACTTCCGCCCCTCCCCGCCAAGACCAGTCCCCTCCACAGATACTGGTCACCCTCAGAACTGTGGCCTCGATGGCTCCAGTTTCCTTTCTTTGCCTCGGGTCCCAGGACACCAGTCCGGGTTTAACTTTATGAGTTGGGTGGGCAGCTTTCCTTATCAGTCACGTTTCAGCTCGAGGGCTGCTTCTACCTGCCATTCTCTCTGGTTCCTGCCCACCTGAGTGGAAGCTTCAAGTGGATCTGGCACATCTCCTAAATCTAGGCCTGCCATTAGCAGGCCGGGGGCTGACGTGTGCAAAGGAAGACTCGGACCAAGCAGGCCTTTTTCACCTGCGTAATAACAGGCTTGGGAGCAGCGAGGCGGCGGCGGCGGCGGCGCCAGGAGGAGGAGGAGGAGCGCGGGCAGAGGCCGCCGCGGGGCCCGGAGGAAGAGGAGGGGGAGGAGGAGGAGCTGAAGCGCCGAGAGCTGTAGGCGGCAGCTCGGCCGGAGTTGCAGCAGCGGCGGCGGCGGCGGCGGCGCTCACACCGCAGCCTACCCAAGCCCCGAGTCCCGGCGGGGGCAGCAGCAGCGAGCGCCCGCCCGCCCGCCCGCCCAGTCTCTGCACCTCGGCCCCGCCAAGCCGCTGTCGCCGCGCCCGGGCAACTGCCAGCCATGGCCGCGCCGCCGGATCCCCGAGACGAGCTGCTGCCGCTGGCCGGCCCCGGGTCCCAGTGGTTCGGGGACCGGGGAGAGGGGGAGGACGAAGCGGTGACGCCGAAAGGAGCCAAGCCCGAGACGCTGGCGGGGGAGCCCGGACCGGGGTTGGGCGCCGGGGTCGCCGAAGCTGCGCCGCGGGAACTGGGCTCGGGCCCCGCCCGGCCGCCGCCCGTTGCCATGGAAACTGCATCCACAGGTAAGGCGGGCGGGCGCCGCTGCCCCTCAAATGGCGTCTGGGACTCCGCTCCCCTAGCCGGACCCCTTTTCTAAAACTCATCTATGCACCTACTTTGGTTCTCTATCTTAAGTACCAACCTTAATCTGTCCCCGCCCCCCCCCCCCCCCCCCCCCCGCCACAGGCGCCTGTAAATATTAAAGGACTGGTAGAAACAAATTTTATTTTTTTCCAAAGGCTCAGAAGAAAACAAAATACTATTGATCCTTTTATTTCATTAGGGTTATTTTTCTGGCTTTCAAAGTTGTCCTCAGAGACAAACCGCAGCATCCTGGCTGCTGGCGCGCCTGTGTACAAGTTTCTTCCTTGGGACTGGGGGCTGTAGGGCCCGCTAGGCCAGTTGGGACGATTGGGGGGGTGGGGGCGTGTTTGCTTGCAGGGCTCGCGCCCGCGACAGGGGAAACTGACGACAAAGCGACCGGCAGGCCCGCTGCCCCTAGACCCGACTCGATCTAGGGCAGAGATGTGACTTTAACTCTCCCTTTCCTTAACCTCCGAGAGTCGCCACACCCTACTTCCTCCCATTTCCCTTCCCCTCCTCTAGTAACCCGCGCACTAAACTGAAATGCCGAGGTGCGTTTAATTCCGGAGGGACTGCGAAGCCAGAAGGTTGGGAGTTGTGGCGATCCCCCCGCCCAGAACCCTTCTTTTTCAGCTCCCGGATGCTCCCACCTCAAAGGAAGCTTTGGAACTTGGAACCCTAATTTAGAGCGGCCGCTGGCTACGGTGCTAGAGATTGTTGAGTGGCGGTGGGTGTAGCTAGGAGGCAGTTTGCCAGCAGTCTGAACCAGCGAGGGCGTTAGGAAATTGCCCTGGGTTTTTCGCCCCTCCACCTGACTTCACCTTCTGATCTGGATCCCAGTGGAGACCTGAGATCTTGAAGTATCCTGCCCAAAGGATGCCAGAAACGAGCTTTGGGGTGGGACTGCCGGCTTAGGTAACTCAGTGTTTCCAAGGAGCAGGGGGACGGTGCTGTGTCGTGTAGTTCTCCGAGGAAGCTTCGCCGGGTGGAATGAGAGTTGTGTAGTTTTGGAAATGGAGCTCTTGAAGGCCGGGTGCTAGGTGATCCTGGGGGAGCGGAATGGGGGTGGGACTGGCATGCTTGTTCGTGGCAGCTGATTTAGGGGAACACTTTTCTTAAGCCACTGCCTCTCTTAAGGGTCACATGGAGTGCTTTAGGTAGTCTTGATTATGCTCTAGTACAAAATATTTGAGCTGAGGAAAGGAGATTTAGGGAATGTTTTGAATAAAACATTCTGAAGGGAAGAGAAAAAGACCATAGACAAACAAAAAAAAGAAAGACTCAAAAGCAGAAAACCCCGTTTGTCCAGTATTAGTTATTTATATGGGAGAGGGGAGGATTTACGACTAAGATTTCAACTTAACCTAAATGAAAACAAAACTTTATAATTGCAAAAGAAGATGGCAGAAGCTTATAGACAAAGGAAGGTACTTTTTTGGTTGATTTACCGTCAGCATTCTTCGTTGAGAGTAGCTCCTAGTATAGAACCTTTACCCACCATCATCAAAATAAATCATTTATAAACATTGCCCACCTCTCATTGGTGTGATCAAGGTCAGGTGAACTAAGGAGAGGAAACTTAGCTTCCTCTCAATAACATACTATCCACTAAAATACTTGCTATATATAAAATGCTTAGAACAATTTTTGACGAAGTAGGCATTTGCAATTTTTAACATTATTACTATTATTATAGAAATAGTTTGTTAAATGTATTAGGGATTTCCTATCCTAGGCAACAAATATATTAGTAAAATTAAACATAATGCTGAGTGTGGATGGGAAAAGAATGAAGGGAGGGGGACAAAGCATAAGTTTGCAGTTTATACAGAAATTTTAAAGTTTATTATTGCTGCTTGAAGGAATTTGTCATATATTTATTGGTTATTTAGTGTTTTCAGTTTGTATTCAGTTTTCAGTATGGGCTGTTATAAGAGGCCTAGATGCCAGAAATGATATCTAAATAAATTACTAGATCTTGAAAAAAAAATCAAGTAAAATCTGAGCCAGCTTTCTTATCTGTTATTTTATTATTGCAGTTCTATGGCAATAAGTAAAGTTAGCAGGTGCATCCTCAACGTAATCAGGGACAAAATCCAGAGGAAGCCTATTAAGCTCATAATTTTACTTTTTTAAAAGAATGATGCTCTTTGGGACTCAAATCAAACTAAGAAGTAACTTAGACATTGAGTGTGATGCACTGTAAACAAATTTTGTTTCTTTTTCAAATGGAATTCCAAAATGTAAGACAAATACTGATGTTTTAAGACTTTTTTTTCTTGAAAAACACCACTAATCATGCCATCTGGACAAAGATTCTGTGATTCATTTTTATACATTGATGGCGATTAAAGTTTTTAAAGAAACATTTCTAAAAATATTTCTCTGTGATGTCCTGGAATTAATATATGTTTAAATATCATTAGCGTTGCAGGATAAAACTCCATTAGTACGGTATTTCCAGGTATTCTCATTGCTTCTGTCCCTTTAGTGGGTTGAAAATGTTCTCAACAAAAAGTAACACTTTATTCTAAGGCTATAATTTTTCATGTCTAAAATTGATAATGGGCATATGATATGATGTCTATGGCCAAGGGAACATTTAATGCACCATGTGTAGGCTACAACATGTTTGGTTGTTAATCATGAATCAGTACCATCATCTAGTAACATTATACAAAGTATATTAAGAGCAACTGTTTTGTTTTTTCATGATCAGTTATTTTATTCCTGAAAACTATTCAAAAGGAGCATACAATAACACAAGGATAGAAGAATGGCCCTTTGTTTAAAGGAAGAATTTAAAATAGAACATTTGAACAAAATGCCATGGTAAGATGTTAACTCATTGGCCACTTTAGAAATTAAACTCATTGATTCATGCATGGAAGGCAAAATGAATAAGAGAATTGAGAATGGCCTGGAGAAATCAGCCCAATGTGATGATTTGCTTTAGTGATATTGACCTATAGATAATTTACCTTAAATTTCTAGATGATTGCTGAGTTGGGGGTGACAGGGAGAGAGAAAGAGAGAGGGAGGAAGGAAGAAGAATAGAGAGAGAGAAATTTTCCTAATTTACTTGGACCACAGTACTCATAATTTTCAAATGCTGAATATGATACTCTATTGGAAGAACTATTCTTAATCTATCATGATTTAAATACCTTTCAGAAATGTTTATATATGCTGTGTTTATTCTGTTTAATATAATAAATTGTACCACACATATTACCAATCACATTTTAAAACCCACATAGAGGCTAGATTGACTCTTTTTGTTTTTGGATATGTTTGATAAATGTGTAAGTATTTTTTATTTGGAGTCATTTCCAGCAATCCTCTTCAGGAGGTATAGATTTCAATCTTCTGTTTTCTTTCATCTTTTAAGAAAACTGCAGTTCTGTTGAAATGGGAAGGAACACTGCACTTACTTTTACAGTATTTTATAGAACCTTTAAGAAAATAAGAGTTTCTAATGCAATTTATTTCTCTGGGCACAGACTCTGAATATAATCAATGACATTTCTGGCAGTAACTATAGTGCGTATCTTTCATATTGGGAATTCAAATTGGTTAAATTAAAATTTAGAAACACATATGCTAAAAAATAAATTGATAAATAAACTTTATCAGAGCTTTCAGCATAACTTCCTCTTCATGAACTCACTGTTCCAGAAACCCCATCCTTATCATTGTCCACAAATATAGCATAAACCTTCCTGCTCCCATCTCTTTTTTTAGGCTGTTCATCTACTTCTGACTTTGAGGATTTGGAAAAGAGTGGATTATTTTGTTCACTATACTGTCTATCTTGCATAGCCTGGATTATGAAAAATGTTTATTATCTGTAAAATGAGAGACCATTGTGATTCAACTCAATTTAGTAAACATTTCCTGAATGCCTCCTTTGTGTAAGGATCTGTACTGAACACAGGTTGTGGTTTCCTAGAGCATGTGCATCTTTCTGTTTCACATTAGGATTTAGTTATATAGGTTTTTTTTTTTTTTTTCTTTCCATTTTCCTTATTCCCAAGTCACTGCTGGAAGCTTGTTTAGAAGGGTATTATAACAATCTAACCACACTGGCACACAGACATGAGTTACTTTTCTGAGGTCAACACTGAATGAATAAATACTAGCATAGGTTGCCCAAAGTGCACAGCTGGGGGAAAATAAAATCCATCAACCTACCTAACTATCTAGCTAATTCTCTGTATAGAAATAGCTGGCTGAATAGTTCTCAAAGATCCTTGTATTAGTTGTGCTTTTATTTTAAAGTTAAAGGAAATTATTTCAGTGGTGACTAAGGAAGATTTGGAAAAGGCACTATAAAATATAGACAGCAGTGAAAATAAAAGACCTATTTCAAGAGACTAATATATCTACATAGGAATGCTCTCTGTGAAAGAACATGGTCAAAAGATGTAAGACAACCGATTTTATTTGTTTAAATAATATTTGGGGGCAAAAAGAACAATGAGAAGAACATGAACTGGAGAGGCTCACTGCTAGTGGAAGATGCTCTAGTGAGAGTAATGAAAAAATGAGAGGGAAGAGTTTCTCAGTTCGTATTTAACCTATGTTATTTAAAATGGATAGTGATCATTTTGAAATGTATACAAATATTGAACCACTATGTTATGTAACAGGAACTAACATGATGTTGTAGGTCAGTTATACTTCGAAAACAAACAAACCCATAGAAAAAGAGATCAGATCTGTAGTTGTCAGAGGCTTGGTGGGTGGAGGGAGAACTGGATGAAGGCACTCAAAAGGTACACACTTCCAGATGAGATAAGTAAGTACTCAGAATATAATGTACAACATGACAGGTATAATTAACAGTGCTGTATGTTATATATGAAAGTTGTTAAGAGAGTTAATCCTTTAATCTTGTGTCTGTTTGAGATAATGGAAGTTCACTATAAGTTATTGT